GGAAACTTTAGTTCGCTCTTCCACTATATTTTTTCCCGCCTTCAACGGCTGATTTCTGTAGGTTTACGTTCGGACACCTTTCATTTTCCTACTGAACTTCTTTCTCCATAATATCAAATAAATTCTCCCGTGTTTTAGTCCTCTTTTTGTAGAAGAATCAGACTTCAAAAGTTTTGGTCGCCTTTTTCAGGTTCTCTCAAAGTAGATAAAAAGACGCACAATTGGTACGAGGTAAGACTTACGGAAAAATACGTGTCGGTAACTCAGAACGAACAAGATCCATTTAGAGTATAATTTCTCATATTTAAAAAAACCACATAACATGAGAACAAATAATTAGTGCAAAATTAATAAAAATTATGTGTACGCTGGTTCAGATTTGGCTTACTTCGGAAGACTGCGAAATATTTGTCTCGCAATTTGTATTCCGAATTCTCTCAAGAGAAATCTGTAACACCAAACCACAATAACTGGGCCCCTTATATGTAAAACAGAAAAGAATACACTAAGGGAACTTATAATAAACATCGGGACTATGAAAACAAATTTGTTGCAAATCTGATGCTCGGCGAAAGTACGTGGGGGCTGTCTTCTTAACTTACGGAAAAAATTCCTTCAACATATTCCTTGCACGACACACTTTAAAAACTCAGGCACGAGGTCAAGGTGGACCAGCGTCATCTGTCTCTGGGTAAAACACATTCCTTACCAAGACGAAAGACGGTTTAACGTGTATACTAAACACATTAACGGTCATCAGGAATGTGTTACGTGTCCGGATATTGAATTACGCTTCGGGCAAAGTAACACACCCACTGAAGTCGTCAACACTACTCGACCGAGCCACGGGGCGTCTTAAATCCGGCCGCCATGTCGAAAATCGTGTAAACCGAAGACACGTTCAGAAATATGAACTGAATCTTCGATATGATAAAGACATTGTCACGATAAAACCCATAAGCTATTTCTAAGACCCCTGGGAAAAATAAACATCATACAAAATATTTTGGTCGAAAACCCTCCAGAAAAGAGACCAGTTGGAAGACCTAGAAGTAGATCACAGGGTCATATTAAAATAGACTTAAAATACTTCTGTTCGAGTTACATAAAATACGAGGAGCTGAGCAACTATTAGCTACGCAAGAAACAATGTATCGTAACAATTTACGTGTCCATGAAGACTGAGACCAAAGATGGCTGTCTTCTAGGTTATTGCGCCGTGTACTCTGGTAGAAGTTTACCGACGTTCGACCTGATGATGGAGGCAGGAAGGACATCTGAAACGTCGGTAAACTTCTACCAGAGTACACGGCGCAATAACCTAGAAGACAGCCATCTTCAGACTCACCGCCGTGAACACCTCAGGTCCTACAGACTGAGACGACATTGCGCGATGTTTCTCTGTCCCATATGTACAAAAGTCAGTGTCCTGCTGTGTCAACGAGGGTTTCACCCGTTCCCACACCGCCGGTCGTCTCCAGAAGCTGTCTCATCCATACACGTCCGAGATACCCGAATTATGTCTACGGCGTGGGAACAACGCTAAAGCGATTAGCAGAAGAGCAACACACTGACATCTATGAACAGGTGACAGAAAACCTTCATCCTACACACGGACTACGGATCCAAACGTTTACGAGTCGCAAAATGACGTCGGAGTTGTGTATAGTGCAAATTATTTTTTGGCTCGGAATAATCTGAAACAAGACGCTTTTCCATTGGTTTTCAACTTCGCCTTGGAATACGCCATCAGAGAGCTCCAAGGAAACAAAGTGGGGCTGAAAATGAATGGAACTCACAGCTTCTAATCGATCTATCGTATACCAACGATTTGACTTTCTTAGCTGGAAACGTAAATACGATGAAGAAACGCATAAATGCTCTATCAGATGCTAATAATAACGTTCTTCTAGAAGCAAACGTAGAGGAAATGAAGTACGTTCATGTCTCGTCAGGGTACACTTTGAAAATGTGGCAAAATTTAAATATCTGTAAACAGCTTTAACAGAATCAGAATTACATTTGCGAGGAAATTACGAAGAAGTTAACTTACGGGAATGCTTGCTATCAGAAAGTTCAGAATCTCTTCTCGTCTAACCAACTAGATGGCTTACCGAACCCAAAGGTTCATCACCGAATTAACCAAAGCCCTCCACCGGACCCTGTCCTGGGCCAACAAAATCCAGTCTCCTTCAACTCCTATCTCCCATAGATCCCGCCTGACATTATCCTCCCATCTACGTCTAGGTCTCCCCAGAGGTCTCTCCCCCTCAGGCTTCCTCCCGCCTGAGATTATCCTCCCATCTACGTCTAGGTCTCCCCAG